TATCGTCTGTGTTTTAATGGTGAGTACATTAGCAAGCACACATAAAAATGTCAAAACCAATTTTTTGGCAGAGTCACAGCTCTGCATCTTAGAAGTACATTCCCTTACTTCTGCAGCAGAACTGTCAATATATTGAAAAACTTACCACTGAGCAAAAAGTAGGTGTGGAACTGCACTGCCTAATGAGAAGCTGAGGAGAATCTCAGCTACCTATGACTGCTGCCTTTGCCAGAGTACTCTATGTAAAACCCTGCACATGGACTCACCAGCAGCTCACAGGATGCTGTTACACATGGAATAGATGCAGTTTACATCAGTAGACAAATAGAGACAGATTATATCTTTTATCAGACCCCTGATACAGCTGGGGAGAAAAGACAAACTTCTGAGCACAAGCTGCTGAGCAAAACAGCAGCAGCAACCTCCAAGAAATGCCTGACAGCTGTTGCAACTGTAGTTTGCTTGTAAGCAGTTATCAGTGGATTACAGAACCTCCTCAGTGGAGCCTGGAAGATCCACTGGAAATTTAGCATTAGTGTCATTTTAAAGAGGAAAACTGTGTGGATGAGCAAGTTGCATGGCTTCCCATGGTGACAAATGGGTTTGGGAGTAAATTCAGACTAGAAGTCAGAATAGACTCCTGACATTTGGTTTAGGCTTCAGCCCTTTAAATATCTGGATTTTATGCAAGTCAGTTAGAGATAAGCTAATTTAGAGGGATTTTATCATGCTGTTGAAGGACTACAACTTAAGTTCCACGTACAGGGATCCAGATGGTCTTACATAAATATTAAACCCTTGATTTCCCATCTTCTTCCCATGACAGAGTTCTCCTTTAATTCTTAATACCAGTAATAATACTCCTTTGATACAAGTGCCTTACTGGTATCAAACAATCAACTTCTGCACAGGTTTTCTACCTTTTTCTATCCCAATGCAAAATTAAATAATATTAAAAATAAGTACTATCCATTTAAAGCATGAAAAGAAATCTCTTTCTAAATTTCCTAAAACAAAGAAGTCTCACACTGAACACAAACAGGCAGACTTCTTCAGTGGGACCTGTGTGTGTGCACATGCTACAAATGGGAACAATTCTGGGTTTGATTTTTAATCTAGTCAAATGGCAAAATCAATATAAATAGCTGCGTTTGCTCATGACAGGATAGAAATTTGAGGAAAATGTGGGAAGTAAGTTAAGCAACCTTGCACACCTTAACTGGCAAGTTCTGAGGTTACTTGTGATTAATTGAGGAGGCTTTCAAGAGCAGCTTAGCAGATAATTAATTAAGCTCCTATGAAAGCACTTTTCTAATTGATCTTGTAACAAGTAACATGAAATAAAAAATGCCAGAATAGGGCACAACTCTGACAGTAGATTTTCTCTACTGAAGGATGAAGTCTTTGGGGTCGATTTTTCCTGTCAGCAGACAGTGGGATGTATTTTCTGTTTTGCTTTAAGAAAACTTTTTGTTTTCTTATTTAACTCTGCTACTTGATCAATTTTACAGTCCCCAGTTTCTGTAGGTGTAGAATTATGCAGCTGTTATGATGTGAGTCAAAAGATCTGAAGGAGGGACTGCATGCCTGAAAGAGCATCTATCTTTCTCCATTTGTATCAGATGGTGTAATAAATGACATTACCTCTTTACAAATTTGCCTCAGTTAATTATTGCTATTCAATGATGCAAATATATAAATTCAATCTCTCACTTTGAGCAAGACACAGAATCTCATAGTCTGCATGAAAGATATATTGAGGGGATGGTTGCATCAAGTGCCATACTCAAGAGTCTGGTAGCTAGAGAGTAGGTAAGTCTGACTAGGATCTGTTTTGGATGCATTGCTCCCCACAGTACTTACTTAACTAATATTCTGGTATGTGAGAGAAAGCAACAGAACCAATTAGAATCACATTTTTCCAACTTTTCTGTCTCATTTTTCTCTGTAAATAACTTGAAGGGTGGTGTGTCTTCCAAAATTACTCAGATTGATTAAATTCTGAGCTCACGAAAAAAATATCTTAATTCACATTTATATCTCATTTTTTTTCTTGGAAAATATTTTTACACTTGCTCTTAGCTTTACTATCTCTTGCTCCTTTTCTTTCACTGTATGTCCGCTGCAGCAGCTTCCTGTGTTGCTGTCTCTTACCTGTATATGCTATGTAGTGCCCTAGTTAGGCACCCAGAATATGGATCCTACTAAAACCCTCTCTTTTGACTGTATGAGGATTTTCTATTGATTTTTCAGCAGCTGTATTTTACCACTTGCTCTTTTAAAATCACATGTTCAATTCTTATTGACAAAGTCAATTCTTTAATCTTTCATTGCAAAATACTGCAGCAAAAATTGCACTAACCTTCTGAAGACCCACTTGTGTTTCATTTTACTGCTCTTCTGTAATGTAATCGGGCATAGGGCAATAAAAGATACATGATCTTTCTTGTTTCATAAGTTCGGAATGGTTCACATGAGACATGCTTTACTCCATGAGTCAAAGACAATCTTTGTGTTACACCCAAACCAAGCAGAAGTTTGGTGCTTTCATCCACAAAGGACTGACCAGGGTGCCCATCAGGCCAATGGCACAGACCCACTCAGATCCAAATCTGGTATAGTCTCTGTGGGCAGCTCCTTCCTTCTCTTTTTTTGGTCACCTTTAAAAATTCTCAATGACTGATCTTACTTTTGATGTTAGCAGCTTTGCTATGGGAACACTTCACGCTTAAATCAACAAAATCTACTTTACCCTCTAGAGGATTATGAAACATTTGCTGATAAACATTGAGATCTAATTTCTGTGCACAATAATGTGCTCTTGCCTTACAGTATGTAGCTGAGATAAAGAGCACAGTCTGACTTCTTAGCAGACACAGTATCACCCTCTCTCTTTTCAGTGTGACTCTTGTTTCTGAACAGGGGAACTGCCAGGTAATCAGCTCAGCTAGAGATTAATGCCTAAATGAAGAAAGGACCCTGGCTGGATATGCAGTGTTAGCTAACAGAAACCTCTGAAAATTCCCTTTATCTACTAATATCCTGCTGGCAAAGCCAATTTTTCACTGGTATCCCATTCGACTGGGTTCCGTTAACACAGTATATTTTGGCTCCAGCCAAGTGTTATCACAAGGTACAGAAATGAGATAAACCCAAGAAAGCTTTGCAAAGAAAAAGGTTCAATGTTTTCATTGTTTGCATCCTTTGCACAACCCAGAGTGCCTAATGGCACGTCTGTGGGAATAAAGAATCTCACCTTACATGATTCATAAAATGCTAAATTCATTCATTTAGACCTCCTGTTCTTAAGGGAACCCTTGTAGGTTGATGAATTTTAATTTCGAATAGATGCAAGTCTGTAAGTATCTCTTGGACCTTCTATGCAAGTGCAAAGGCATTAGACTCCAATATGATATAATAAAAAAAAAAAATCCTTATTCTCTCAGATAGGGCATACAGAGAAGCAGATGGTGAATTCCTTCAAGAAATGAAGAGGAAGCTGTTAAGTCTGCCAGTAGACAGATGTCCACCATTTAGTACTAGAAGGCATCTATCTCAAAATCTGACCACAAAAGCCTTCCTTATGCACAGCCTCAAGTCTTCAGATGACAGTTGCTCAAATAGGTATTCCCTGTTCAACTCCACAGGTAATGAGGACAATTATTTCCCTCCCAGAGCTAGAATGCAGCACAGATTTTCTGCTGACTTAACAGACTTTGCATCAGGAAATTGCTGGTCATGACCTCATTTGATAAGAGCAGCAGTTTTACTCTTCAAAGGGGAAGAATATATTGAAGACTAGGACTTCCAGGAAATAATACTTATCTAATTATCTGCTGCCAACCACTGAACACTGTTCAAAGAAAAGACTGACAGAATTTCACCACCAAGATTATGCACAGGAGAGGCAAAATTCACAAGTGGGATGGGTAAGTCTAACTCTTCTTCCACATCCTGTATTCTAGACTAATGGTAGCACGTGCAGTTCCTCTATTAATTGACACTTGATCCTGTTCTACATAGCTGGCAGCTCTGTGCTTCTCCCTTTCCTGAGGCTCAGCAGGACTTTCAAAATGAGTGCCCAGGGCCTACTTTACCTGTGAGCATGGCCAAAGTTCTCAGCATGTGCCTAAATCCCACAGAAAATAAAATGCCTGCCTAAAACAAGTGCACCTGAGATGCTGAGGACTCCAGTGGAATTTCTTGTTTGCCTGAATCAGAGCAGGAATTCTGAGGTTGCTCACTCGCAGGAGGAAGCCCCAACTGCTAAGTCTCATTGCTCCCACTGTCCCAGCCTTGCTTTGCCAAAGTAACTGCATCTTCACCAGGCCAAAGGAAGAAAGGAGACAGGTCTCCACATCTGTGAGTCTTGTAAGCACAGGCAATGGCTATGGGTCCGTGGCAAGGCAGGCAGCCCACAACTGGTGCTACAGCACTGAGAAGAACCAACAGATTTTAACCCAAGGAATCTTTCCACATGAAGGTTTATACTTAATTTTTCTTAAATAAATTATTGTGGCTATTCTTGTTTTCTGTTTCTTCCTTGAAACTACAGGTCCTTACAACATTCAGGAAACAGCCAGCGACATCAGCATTTACCAGGCAACTTAGGCTTTGGCAGAAGGTGCTCAAGGGCCTCTGAAGCTGCTCTACAGCTTCCAAGTTCAAGCTGTGTAATGGCAATTAGAAATGGGCAGGTAAATCTACTTGGCTTTGTGTTGCCAGCTGGTAGCCTGGAAGGAACCAGACATAACAGAAATTCAGGATTTAAAGTCTGAGAGAAATTTTTAAAGTGTCAGCATCCCTTTCCACTGTACTAACTTTATAGGAATTGAGATTGTGAAGTGTACAGCTGATTAAATGAGGACATGATTCTAGCAAGGATTCAGCTATAAAACAAGGAGGTAGGGCAGACAGCATCCCTTTGCAAGTCCATCTGCACATGTTTTCTCAGACCACGTACAGCTCGGATGGAGCAACATGCTGAAACAGTTTCTTACCATCGCCAATGGAACAATTCCAACAAGATCCTTCTGGCAGATGAAGATTTCAGACAAGGTTATGTCTGTTGTCCCCCTCCGAGGGTATTCCACCTGCCAGGTGATGGGCTGCGTTCCAGAAAGGCTGCTGAAACTGGCTATTTCAAAGTTCATCTGCACGACCTCATTGAATAAACTGTTACTTCTGAAAAGAGGAAAACAGGGAAAGGGAAAAGCTATTACTTTTGCTGAAGAAGGCAAATGAAGTGAATCATATTAGCTACTTGAGAATGCAGCTATTTATATGCAGATACAACACAAGGCCTTTTCCAATCTACAGCTTCTTCAGAGCATACAAACTGGAGTTATTCAAAATGGGCCTGCTGCTCTTCCTATGAACACTATGGGGAGGGATAAAATCCAGGATATTGTATCTGATGACAGCAAAATGTACTTATTCCATTACATATTGTTTATGGTTTTGCAAGTATACTCAATCCTACTGCAAGATGGACTTGACCCTGATGGACAAAGTTATGTGCAGTGTGGCTCATGAAGACTGAAGAGCCCAGAATTTGTGCAGCCAAAATGAAAAACAAGATTCGTTGTAGATGTCCATCAAAATCACATCAAACCTTAGCAATGACAGAGTATAACTGAAGTTTATACATTTGCATCAAAGATGTTAAAAAAAATAACATGATTAAATGGCAATATGACAAGATTAGTCTAAACTCAGAAGCAGGCTTTGGAAATTAAAAACCCGTGTAGCTGAGACCACATAGAAAGAACAAAGCTATGGCAGGTGAAATACACTATAAAGTCAGGGGGTATAAGATGATTTGAATAACAAATATGAAAAGGCATGCTGAAATTATTTCCTTCACATTAAATTTCTTTAAGTACCTCAGAAATAAAAAGAATATATGAAAAGAAATTTGCCAGACTATCTGCTAGTTTAATTAAAAGAAGCAGTACAAATTATTTGCATCCAAAATTATATATTAACTTTTCTGGAACTTTCCAAATGTCTTTCCACAGTGCAGAGTCTTAATATTTCACAGAATATTACTTCACCTAACCTTACACTGTAGTAATTTTAAAATGAAGAGACAGACAGGCATCTTCCTAGCTTCAGTAACCCAATCCCAGCTTCATCACACCTCTGCATGCATTCATCACATAACAGATCCATTTTCTCCTCTTTTTTTTATGTACAATACACGAAGGCCCATTTCTGAGAAAATCCATCAAGAACTGATCATGTACAAAGCACTTAGATTCTCGTGTGCTAGACTTTCTTTTTTACTTCTGAACAGAAATCACTATTTTTTATTATTTAAGACATATTCTGTGCTTTACTTTGCATGATTACTTTGAAAGCAAATGCGTTCCCATAATGATTATTATTTTGATTATGGGTTTTCATTTGGATGGCTTGCTCTGAAAAGTCTTCACACTGACTAATTTATGTCCTTGCTGTTTTCTTGCTGTGTCAAAAGTGAGGCATCGTAAGACTTCTGCAATAGTGGTGTACTTCCCCCATGCATTTAGAGAGTGATTTTGTGTAGCAATGTGGTAGATGGATGGGTTTAGCAATTCATAACTCAAGACTAGCCTATTCCCATTTGAAGAGTTCCTACTAAATAAATCTTAGAGCTTGTAAATAGAAGGCAACTGCGATAACTGTAGTTTACACACTTCTGGGACATCTCCAAATGAATACACACCGGAGTGAACTTTGCAATTTATTTGAAAGTATGATTATATGCAAAGATACCTGAATCACCTGAGCTACAGCATTCATTTAGCTGTTAAAGGCACCATTATGCCTCAGATTAATGACACCTGAAATGCCATTATTTTTACCATTTCTAGATCTGATGCTTAGTAACTGACAGAGAAAAAGTTTTTACATGTGATTGACTATCTCAGTGCTTCCACTTACGCTAAATAGAGAATAAATTTTTGCACACATCAAAGCTGTTCCAAGACATAATACATGTCAGGAGAGCTTTCCTGATCAAGGAGCCTACCCTTCCCTAAATAGCCTCTAAGCAGATGTGAAATGTGCAGCTTTCCAGCAAAAGCCCCACAACTCTACTGGTAGGATCAGAGAGCTCTAGGTGGGGAGCTGCAGGGGGGAAGGAGCTCCTGTCCAGCCAGCCCACTGACTCCTCATGCGTTGGCTTAGCTGAGGGCTCACCACTTCCTTCTTGCTCCCAGCTCTCATCTCACAACACCGAATTTTCCCTGGCCCTTCAGACAATTTGTAAGAGTTGCCTGGCGTTGTGCTTATGAGCTGCCCAGACTGTTTACCTGCAGCACACTCTCCAGCTACCCAGGGGAAATACCCAGAAAGAAGTCTTTGGGCATCCTGTTTCTATGCAGCATTTCCCAGCACACTGAATTGCAGTGGGGACCATGGCCTGCTGTATCTGGCCATGTTTAGGTATCCACACAAACTTGGAAGGATGTCCTATGATTGCAAACAGGCAGTATGAGGTGACCACATCTTTTCTACATGATTCTTGAGATGACCTGCAGCATGAACCTTACTTGAGGCTGGCTAAGTTAGCATGCAGGCATGCAGACACATCTGGGAAGCTCCCCACAGATCATGTTGCAGGCAGGGTCAGGCACTAGTCAGCTCCCAGTGTAGAGAGAGAAGACTGGGACAGGGTAAGGAACTTTGTGCTTTCCCAAATCTCCTGCTAACCACCAGCCTATCATTCTGATATTGCTGAAAATGGGGACCACAGCACTTGTTTCTAAACCCTAAATGATCTTCAGTGTATGCATCTTAAATTTCAACATCATTCTGTACACGAGGTGTATTTTTGATAACTGATGAGCTATTCTGTGAAAGAGATCACTGCTATTATCATTTACAAAGCCACCTCTAAACCACTTGCTTTGTTTGCATTTTCAGTTCTCACCCAGCACGTAGTACTACTCATGGAGTTATTTCAGCCAAGTATCTTCTTGACCCATGGCAAGGATAGGCTGCTTCCTCCCAGAGGTATCAAGCTCTACTAGTGGAGAGATACAAAAACGGAACCAAAATTCTACAGAATTCTGTAAAACATTGCTAAAATATTTCTTCTGTAAAATACATGACACAAAAATGTCCAAAACTACTCATAGTATAAGACAAGTGTTTTATTGGCACTTTCTCAGGATGACCTGCATAATTATTTCAACACCTGCAGTTGTGAGTAATGCACCCACCTCCCTCCACAGCAATGAAGCCTTTATACTATGTCACACTATCATCAGTTTCCTCCTTCTCTCTTCATACAGAAGAAACAGAGAGATGATCAACAGCTGGGAAAGCATCCACTTGAAAAAAAAATATGCCTTCAGAGATGTGTAATGGCTGAGAAAAAAACTTCTCATGAAGCACATTTAATGTTCAGAGCTTGTTCACTGACTGAAACAGCAATTCCTTAATATCTAACACTTAGAACTGCTCAGCAGCCGGAACAGCAAGTAATTATAAAACTTTTCTAAAGTACACAGCACGTAGTGGTTACAAATGAAGCTTCATGAAGGCAGGGCTTCTAAGGAATTGCTCTGGGGTGGATATATGAGCCTAATTTGATTGGATTGAGAGCTCCCCTGGGCCAGTTCACTCCTTAGATTTATTTTAATTTATAAATATGCTAATCATTCAGGGCTAGGCTGGACCACATGCTTGCACGAGGGAGTAAGGGCTGCCTTTGATCTGCCACGCAGCCACTCTGGCTCCAGCTCTGGGTCTGAGCACACAGCGTTGTGAGGAGCACTGAACCTGCAGCTACTCCTTTGCTGGAGCAGATGGGCAATGATTAGGTGTTACTTATTGGTTTCAGCAGCTGAGCCAGCAAGTTAGTGATGGGGTTAGTAATTTACTACTGGTGTAGGCTAGCAGTAAATTACTGTCCCTGGAGAATGAGGAGGAGCTGTGTAAATGCTTCTGAGGAGCAGAGTTTTAGAAAAAGAAGGTGGAACAGAAGTATTCTCTTAATGGAAGATAATAAAAAATGCATAAAAGGCAAAACAGAAGTGACGTGGGGAGAAACTATCATGAACTGCAGCAGCTCTTGCCAACTGGACAGACAGAACATACACTTTTGATATCAGCTACTGTTAATTTAACCAGGATTCTTGATTTTAGAATATTTTTGAGTATGATACTAACCATTCCTTTGCAACTACTTATTGACCATTCCAACCTTCAATGCCATGAGAAATATTTATCCTTGGAAGGGGATTTTTCCTATATGGATACCCAGGACTGACTATATCAACAGAGGGGATTTAAACCATGGTGTCACACACAAACAACCCACACGTAAACCCCTGGGTAGACTCACAATGTGGGTAGTACCACAGACACTACAATGCATAACAGATTCTCTGCAGAAGTCTTGTAAGATGTGGAAAGATGTTAAACTTGTCGACAGTGCAGTCTCTGGTGCTGGCCCCATTCAGCTCGGCTGAGGCCAGGAACAGTGAGCCCAGTGCCACAAAGTCTGTCCCGGGGTGCACGGGGAGGAGACAGGCAGATAATCCCCCAGGAAAGCAGTGCAGAGATCTCAGCTGATGTAGGGCCCATAAACAAACGGAAATCTTTGTTCAGTGCCTGGCTTTGGGTGTGGAGCTGAGGTCTCCGATGAGAGATTTTAAAGCGCTGGGTTATTGCTCTGAGTAACAGAGTGGTTTCAGCTCTTAAATGAGTGAATCTTAGGCCTGCTATGGGCTAGATCAATAATTTCGATTTATTACAGTGGCTCTCAAAAGAGAAATTTTAAAAAGCCTAGATTAAAAACATTTTTTAGCCATCCTTTACTCCAACAGATTTTTATTGAAAGTGCCTAGGGATCTGAGAATGCTTCGACCTGCTGAAAATTTAGCAACTCTTTCCCTCTTTAATGCTATCCAGTTTGACAGTGACATCTTAATGCAAGATCAGCACTTACTGAATGACATAAAAATTTGAAAAGGGTACAAACCTCATTATCCCTCAGTTACATTGCACATCTTACTCGTCACTACAATTACTGCACTGAAGTATGTTACTGCCATGGACAAACTCTCATCAAAAGCCAATGGGCAAACGGGACCCGAGAGCAATGTGAACTTCAGCCCACTTAGATGGATGCACCAAAACACTATAATGGGGTCCAGGACATACCTTCTTCTATTCCTACTGTTTTCAAT